GGGTTTGTGATTGGGGTGAGGGCAGAGTGCCCGTAGGGAGCTGTTGTAGCAGTGGGGTTTGTGATGTGGGGGTGGGGGCAGAGGGAACAGTGTGTGGGTTTTGATTTGAGATTGTTCAGCTGCATTGGGGTTGTCAGTGTGGATGGGGTTTATTGTGGAGGGGAGGGGGCAGGGGCAGAGTGCCCAAAGGGGGCTGCTGTAGGGGTGGGGTTTGTGATGGGGGGTGGGGGGCAGAGGGAACAGTGTGCGGGTTTTGCTTGAGATTATTCAGTTGCCTCAGGGTTGTTGTGGTTGGAGTCCTTCTGCGGGTGTCTCTGTAGGGTGTATTTGTCCTTCCACCTGAGTCTGGGTTCTGCTCGTTTTCATCGATGCTTCCCATTCCTCCTTTCGTCTTTGTACCCTCTCAGTATCGTCCTTTCCTGCTGTGTTCTGTCGCGATCGAGGTACACTCTCCGGTACTCTGGATTATCCATCAGTCGTGCTTTCTCCTGCAGGACCCTGGTTCCAGCTGATTCTGCCTTGAAGATTACTTTGACAGGCAGTCTTCTTCTGCCCGCAAACCACCCAATTCTCCACGAATTTGCCACCTGGGTCATGTCTCCCTCACCTATTGCTTTCAAGATACCTTCGATAGCTTTCTTCTCCCCCTGGTTTCTTTCATCATAGGTTTCCCCTTCAACTTCTTGAAGCCCGTAGACAAACACTGACCTCTCCCTCTCCTCCTCCCATTGTGTCTCTCTTTGCATCCTCTGAGGTGTTTTAGCTCTTTCCATCGAAACGTTCCTGCCTTCAACCCCTGCCCTTGCTGCAGCCCCTATGCTCAGTGGACTGTCTTCCCTGTTCAGCTGTTCCCTGCCACTGTAGTTGACTGTTAGTCTCTGCATAAGTCATGTTTCCTGCATTGACTGCAGGCTTCTTATTTGGTCTTCTTGCACTCATCTTTTCCTGCATCCCTACAGCTCCCTCGTCTGTGACTGTTATAGAAGTTCCTGATGTCATGCCTGTACTGTCATTTGTCTCTATTCTGTTTCAGGTTTTTTAGCTCCTCTTCTAAGCACTTCATCTTATCTTCTGCTGCTAAGACCTATAGTCCCCACTTCCTGCTCTCTTCAGCTATCCTTTCCTCCATTACCCTGCCGAGCTCTGCTAGCTTCCTTCCCCACTCTTCCTCCATTTTTGTGAGCTCTAACTCCCAATCCTCCCTCCCAGGTTCCTCCCTCATGGGTTCGACCTCCAGACCCCTGGGTCTCCGCCCTTTTGCGTGTATGTGTGTGTGTGTGTGCCCTCACTTCTAAGTATTCATACTGCTAATAAATACCAGTAGTAATACCAGTAATTCTAAAACTTACCAATAGTAATTCTAACACTTATCAATTCTACTTATAAAATACAGAAAGTAATACTAGGTTCTAAAACTTAGCCTCTCTCAACTTCTACAAGTGTCTACCCTTGTGTGTGTGTGTGTGTGTGTGTGTGTGTGTGTGTGTGTGTGTGTGTGTGTGTGTGTGTGTGTGTGTGTGTGTGTGTGTGTGTGTGTGTGTGCGCGCGCGCGTGTGTCTAACGTTACCCCTCGCTAGGCAGCTTCCCTCTCCTCAAGCTCTCAACAAACCACCTATCTCCACCTTATCTATGCTGTTGCTACTCTAATTCTGGTAAAAGCTTGCAGGAGTGAGTGACCAGTATCTAACAGTGATGCAGAGACCACAATCTGACAACATGCAACCACAATAGGTGAAAAGTACTAGCACTGGCAGTGGGGCGATGACAAGTTGCCAGTTGCTGATGACGTAGTTGTCCTACATGTAGGCCTTGTATCACTGTTTTGAAAATCCTTCACGCGTGATATTTATAACCATATATGCTCATACATCCTGCGTTCCTCAAGTGTTTTCACTTTCCACTTATGATAGAATACACTTCACATTCGGTGAGCTACACTTTATATTTATAATGGCACACAACCTGTTATGGAGGCCTACTCCTGCCACCTTCCCTAGTTATATATTATTTTCTTTTCTCCCTTTACTTATTAACTTTTATACCAGATATACTAAGCAAATTTCCTAAATTTGCTTGTAACAGATAAGTGAACTATAGATATGTAGATATAAATCCATATGTATTCCTGTTAACCCTTTGGGGCCTAGTTCCTAGGCCTTTTGTGTATCCATATGCTCTCGCGCTACCGTCCACAGGATGGATATGGGGTGCACAATAAACTAGCCACTTCGGTGGCAAAATCTAATCTAAAAATCTTATTAACTTTTCACTCTCACCGTATGCTGCCCCACATTTCACTTGTTAACCAATCTCTCGTAATTCTTGAACATCCACTTTCACTTTCACACTCGCTTTGATCTTTGTATATTTGAATCTGTGTGGCAACAGGTGCCTACTAGGCCCCTAACGGTTTGGCACTTTGAAATTTTGATGATTTCAGGCTTCCTCTCGACTTTTTTTTAACTAATAACTTTGGTTATCACTCGTAGGGTTGCTCACTAACGTTGTCAATACCACTGATTACTGCTAGCAGTTACTGCGTGCCTTAAAAAGACTAAGGTTCTCAGAGCCTTGTGCCCCCACGTCTGCGTGTGTCGTCTGTGTGTCGGCTGTGTGTACTCACCTATTTGTACTCACCTATTTGTGGTTGCAGGGGTCGAGTCCTAGCTCCTGGCCCCGCCTCTTCACCGGTTGCTACTAGGCCCTCTCTCTCCCCGCTCCATGAGCTTTATCAAACCTCGTCTTAAAACTGTGTATGGTTCCTGCCTCCACTACGTCATTTTCTAGGCTATTCCACTGCCTTACAACTCTATGACTGAAGAAATACTTCCTACTATCTCTCTGACTCATTTGTGTCTTCAACTTCCAATTGTGGCCTCTTGTTTCTGTGTCCCCTCCCTGGAACATCCTGTCCTTGTCCACCTTGTCTATTCCACGCAGTATTTTATATGTCGTTATCATGTCTCCCCTGACCCTCCTGTCCTCCAGTGTGGTCAGGCCGATTTCCCTTAATCTTTCTTCATAGGACATTCCCCTTAGCTCTGGAACTAACCTTGTTGCAAACCTTTGTACTTTCTCTAGTTTCTTGACGTGCTTTATCAGTGCGGGTTCCAAACAGGTGCTGCATACTCCAGTATGGGCCTGACATACACGGTGTACAGTGTCTTGAATGATTCCTTGCTAAGGTATCGGAATGCTGTTCTCAGGTTTGCCAGGCGCCCATATGCTGCAGCAGTTATCTGATTGATGTGTGCTTCCGGAGACATGCTCGGTGTTATACTCACCCCAAGATCTTTCTCCTTGAGTGAGGTTTGCAGTCTTTGTCCACCTAGCCTATACTCTGTCTGCGGTCTTCTGTGCCCTTCCCCTATCTTCATGACTTTGCATTTGGCAGGATTAAATTCGAGAAGCCATTTGCTGGACCAGGTGTCCAGTCTGTCCAGGTCTCTTTTAAGTCCTGCCTGGTCCTCATCAGATTTAATTCTCCTCATTAACTTCACATCATCTGCAAACAGGGACACTTCTGAGTCTAACCCTTCCGTCATGTCGTTCACATATACCAAAAATAGCACTGGTCCTAAGACCGACCCCTGTGGGACCCCGCTCGTCACAGGTGCCCACTGTGATACGTCATTACGTACCATGACTCGTTGTTGCCTCCCTGTCAGGTATTCTCTGATCCATTGCAGTGCCCTTCCTGTTATATGCGCCTGATGCTCTAGCTTCTGCACTAATCTCTTGTGAGGAACTGTGTCAAAGGCCTTCTTGCAGTCCAAGAAGATGCAATCAACCCACCCCTCTCTCTCTTGTCTTACTTCTGTTATTTTATCATAAAACTCCAGAAGGTTTGTGACACAGGATTTGCCTTCCGTGAATCCGTGCTGGTTGGCATTTATACTCCTGTTCCGTTCCAGGTGCTCCACCACTCTCCTCCTGATAATCTTCTCCATAATTTTGCATACTATTACACGTCAATGACACAGGTCCATAGTTTAGTGCCTCTTTTTCTGTCTCCTTTTTTGAAAATGGGAACTACATTTGCTGTCTTCCATACCTCAGGTAGTTGCCCAGTTTCCAGGGATGTGTTGAAGATTGTGGTAAGTGGTACACACAACATATCTGCTCCCTCTCTAAGGACCCATGGAGAGATGTTGTCCGGTCCCATTGCCTTTGAGGTATCGATGTCCCTTAGCAGTTTCTTTACCTCCTCCTCATCTGTATGTATGTCGTCCAACACTTGTTGGTGTATTCCTTGTTGGTGTCCCCATCTGGTCTGTCCCCCCAGAGTCCTTCCTGTCTCTACTGTAAATACTTCCTTAAATCTCGTGTTGAGCTCCTCACATACCTCTTGATCGTTTCTTGTGAGTACCCCACCTTCTTTCCTCAGCCTTATCACCTGGTCCTTGACTGTTGTCTTCTTCCTAATGTGGCTATACAGCAGTTTCGGGTCAGATTTGACTTTCGATGCTATGTCGTTTTCATACTGTCTCTGGGCCTCCCTCCTTATCTGTGCATACTCGTTTCTGTGTGTGTGTGTGTGTGTGTGCACGCGCTTGTGTGTGTGTAAATATGAAAAAATTCTCTCGAGTTTTGAAAATTATACACATTACAGATTGGAAGAAACTGTAAAATATAAGATATTCAAGCCTGAAGGAGCTAAATGGCTCGTAAAATATGACGAGGGCTGAATAAATACTTGACACAAGGGAATACAATTTCTTTTCATTTGAGATTATTAAGAAAATATTGAAACACACTAGGGTTAGGAGTTCCACATCTGCGTTTCTTTATACACACGTATACTGGGCTATAGATTTAGAATTTCTTTAACATACCTATACATGTTAAGTGTAGTTACGTTACACTTTGTATTTATGCATTCTCCCTGTAAAGTTAATAAAATTTTATTCATTAATTACAGTGTTAGTATTATTAGTGAATATTACAAACGAACGAAAGAAAGGTAGCAGCGTTGTTAACAGTGTTTTTTTTTTCGCCAGCTGGCGGCCAACTGTACGCTGTTCGTGTGTGCCAACGTGGGAGGCTTGTTTACCCACTACCCCGGGGAGGCTGCCAGGAGACAAGCCTTCATGGAGACCCGCCAGTGTGTGGCCACCAGGATCAAGACACAGAGGGAAAACCAACAACAGGTAAGTACTACTACTCTTGCCTCCTGGGGGGTAATCCAACAGTAAGTAGGTACTTCTGCCTCTGAAGGAAAACCAACAGCACGTACAGTAGGTATTTCTTCCTAGTAAGGGTTAATTTAACATCAGGCAAGTGCTGCTCTTTCCTCCTGAGGGATAATTCAACAGCACGTAGGTTTCCCTTGATCCTAAGGGGTAATACATGTACAACAGCAGGGAAGTACTCCTCTTTCCTCCTGAGGGGTAATTTAACCGTACGTATGCATTTTTCCTCCAGAGGGAAGACCAACAGGGGGTAGGTACTACTTTCTCCTCCCGAGGGTTAATCTAAGAGCAAGTAGGCACGCCTCTTTCCTCCTGAGAAGTAATCCAACAGCATATAGGTACCTTTTCTCCTGAAACGTAATCCAACAGTACACAGGTACTTTTTTCTTGAAGCGTAATCCCACAGCACGTAGGTCCTTCTGAGGTAAACCAATAACAGACAGGTGATCCTTCTGAGGTAAACCAATAACAGATAGGTGGTCCTTCTGAAGTAAAGCCAACAGCAAGTAGGTGACCTATCTGAGGTCAATCTAACAGCAAGTAGGTGGCATATCTGAGGTAAAACCAAAAGCAGGTAGGTGGCCTATCTGAGGTAAAACCAACAGCAGGTAGGAGGTCCTCCTCCCCCCGGCACCGCCTCCACACGGCTCTTTGCACATGTTTGGTGAACAATAGCTGCCACTGGGCTTATTTTTTTTCTTTGCCCCGCTCTATTGAATGGGCGACTTGCCTTTGTTGTGGTCTATTTTGTATAAAAACATAAAACAAACATACCTCATTCAACACCACAACACTGGTCTTCCAACACCACCACCACACCCTTTGTGTCCCCAACACAATGACGTGTTGGCTGACGACCACCACCAACACATAATTCTACATATATTTATTATATACTTGGGCAAGTGAATATTTAAGGGTCATACAGTACCTAGGGAATGGGAAACATGCAGATTTGATTTGAGGATTTAGGGCCCTTACCTGGTATCAAGGTTTCCCTTTTGAAGGGTCATTCAACACAGTCCAGGAATTTTAGGATAACATTAAAGGTAAACTAGAAATAATTATATACCACCTGAAAAGTGATAGACATGAAAAAATGTATATTCATAACAATGTACCAAAAGTCTCACGGCAGCCAAAGCCCGCGTTAGCCACCATCTTAAAAAATAGTTACCCTATTGGAAAATGCTGGATGTATTTGGGTCACTACGTGATTCATTAAAGGTACCCTTGTATTGGATAACCCCAGGCCCCTGTACGTCAATGCACGCCAAAATATTAGTGCAGAGTGATGCATAACTTTATAATGCACTAAAGTATTAGCGTTAAAAATTTGAAGCAAATCAGATTTGGTATTCTCAAGTTATTAAATAAACTTACTAAAAGCCTAAGGTTCCGGGAGCAAATTATGCCCACCAGTAGGAAGTTTCTCGCTACACCTGCACCACCCAGCTGCTAGACCGGATTATTTGGCAGAGCCCAAAAGCTGGAGCTCAACCCCCGAAGACGCAACTAAATGAGTATACACACACGTGGTGTACACAGCCGAAGCATACAGGGAGCCTGTGCACCAACAAAGCTTGCTTTGCACCTTGCATGAGAGGATACTTGTTTGTAGAAGGTAAGAGGTGCCTGTGCAGCTCACACTCAGGAAGCTGCAGGATGTGTGAGAAAGTGGGCGAGCACTCACAGAGTTACACTGGTGCTATGTAAAGCCAAGAAAACATGAAAGGAGATGAAGGGGGAATGTACTTGAGTCGTGATCCTCGGGATCGAGCTCAAGCTCTTGTCCAGGATCTTAACTATTTAATCGACTGCTACAAATAGTTCCTAATATATTGGGCTCTATTTTATCTACTTCTCAGTCTGTGTACCTGTTAATGGTTGCAGAGATCATCACCCCCGCAGACCTGGAGTCTACTTGGAGGGCATTCCGGGGATCAACGCCCCCGCGGCCAGGTCCATGACCAGGCCTCCTGGTTGATCAGGTCCTGATCCACCAGGGGGCAACCAAGGGTCTATTGGTAATTTCCCTCATGGCTGGTGGGAGGCTGTTGAACAATCTTGGGTCCCGGACACTTATTGTGTTTTCTCTTAGTGTACCAGTGGGGACCCTACTTTTCACTGTGACCAGTCCCTCCAGAATCTTCCAGGTGTAGATTATCATATATCTCTCTCTTGACCGCCCTAACACCAGGAGAACTAGTTGAGTCCTGGTTAGTCAGACTGTTGATCTGCACTGCACGTCATCAGACAGATATACACACCACAACCTGGCTAATAAGGAACAGCTTTAGGGGACTGTCAAGTTTCTTCCGATCTCGTTCCACTTATGACCCACTTATAATGAATGCCCTTAGCATCCTTGCTTCTCAGCTTAGAATTCTTGTTTCTACTTTGCCAATTGTTCTTGTCCTAACCATTTGTTACAGGTTCTTGCTTTCAGGTTTTCTCAGTATGAGATTAGGCATCGTACTTTGCATCGGAAGGACCAGCAGTGGGTGGTAAGAAGTCTTCATAAAAAATTACAAAGATGAATATTCTTTTAGCAATAAAATCTAACACATTTAAGTGCAATTCCAACACATGTGGTTCGAGATTATTAAGCTGTTCAATGGAATGACATTGTAGTCACCTATTAGTGACTGCGATAGTTGAGTCTCAGCTCTTAACCCCTCCTAACTGTATGCTGTTGTTTTCGTTAATTTCTTGCCTCATGAGCCCTGTCGTACCTATCCTTAACACTTTATTTAAAGATTAGTGTATACAAATTGGAGAAAAAGGAACACCTCTGAGATCAGTGTGGACAATTAGTACGTTAATATGCAAAATCACTAACACACCTGTGTCAAAAATCAATTTCTTAATTCTAGTTGGTTTGAGGTAGTTGTCAAGTTCTACTAAATTTGGTAGTTTCCTCGTCAGCTCAGACATGGCGTGTGTGTAATTAATTCGTAACATTTTAAGTTTCAACTCCAAGACTGGCCTATTAATTTCCTGTTAACTTGTTTTTATTTAAAATTATTGTGTAATTTCTTGATGCTGTGAAATGTGTTTTTTCTCTTCTGTGTTGCTCTTTGATGTGTTCTACTTTCCTGCTGTTCTAACATTGTACAGGCATTTCCTTACATTTAGCCGAGTCATCTCTTTATTCAATTTTGTATGTTGTGATCATTCAGTACTGCATGATCATCACTGCTCACTTATTTCTCAGATCCCTACAGTCCTTCCTGGTATCTTTTCCTACTCAGTTGCAGCATCAGCCTTATGGTAACCTTTTCAATCTGCTCAATTTTATGTTCTGATCAGTGTGTACGCCACACCGGCACCGTACATTCCACCATTAACCGAGCACGTCGCTTATAGCATTCTCAATATTTCCTTATTTACGTTCGTGAGTGCTGTTCATATGTTTCCTTCTTCGGCATACGCTGGCGAAGTTATTCGCTTTGTCTGTTTCTGGGAACAGATATGATTTACTTCATTATTATTATTATATTCATAGAGAAGCACTTAACATTCAATGGTCATAAAATATCGGCTTATACTGTAGGCTGCTAGTACTAACGGAGTTACCAAGGAATTCAATTCTGACTGGAATATTCCGCTTATTCTAGTTGCTGTAGAAGATATAAATTGACACACAATGCCTGACTACAGGAAACAATGAAACTACTATCCCTGATAGATTTCCTTTGATTTATTGCAGAATATAAGATGTGTGAAAGTTTTATTCAAACCTGGATCTACTCCAAGAGTTTTGCCCAGGAAAGCAACGAGCTTGCAGTTTTTTTGGACCTTTTCAGATCATTGTCAGTTCTGCAGACTGCTTTATAACTTCTACTATTTTCTGAGGTTTCGTGGTACAGCCAAGGTATACCTGTGTAACTTAATCTTGTTTAAGGACGTGCCAATACATCCTGTAAAACTTAAAAGGTACTGTGGCTAAATTAAAAATCAAACTCTCAAATTATCGGTTTTTGAAGAATCAAGTAATTTTCAAGTGCAAAGTAATTGTTCAAAGTGGAATCATTACAAATAGTCAAAATTAGGAGCCATTAAAAAATTCCTAAGTCGACACAAGTTGAGCAGATTGACAGGATATCTAGTTTCTGTTCCTGTATTTATTGATGATACTGATACAGGTACGGGTGATAGCCATTGTCTGAACCTGGGCCAGAAAGCCGAGTAGAGACATGGTGTATTTAGGGATAATATCCAATGAATGAGTGACACAGGGCCCACAAGTAGAGATCCAGTGATATGGCAGCGTCTGCCTTTTAGGCCAATAAGTGGTAAATATGAAATGCAGCTGGAAGGATTATACAGCATTTCTAGTAAAAACAGTAGAAACATTGTAACAATAGTTGTAGTAACCTTAGTAGTAGCAATAGTAATAATAACAGCAATAGTAATAACAATAGCTGCAGTAGCAACAGTAGTAGCTATTGTAATAACAGAAGCAGCAGTTGTAATAACAAGAGTAGCAAAGTTGTAGTAATAGTAGGATCAGCAGCAGTTGTAGTAATAATAGTAGCAGTAACAAAAACAGTAATCATAAAATTAGCAACAGGTATTTCAACAGTAGTGTCAGTAGCGATTTTAACGACAGTAGCAGCGATTGTAGTAATGAAAACACCAGTGATTGTAACATCAGTAGTGGTAACAACAAATTCAGCGGATGCATTAAGAAATTCAAAAGTTGTAGTAAGGTCAAAAACAACAGTTGTAGTAACAGCCAAATTTGTAATATCAACAGCAGCCTTTGTAGGAATAACAGTAGCAACAATTTTTGTAAAAACAGCAGCCGAAGTTGAAATAATAACAGCAGCGGTAATTGTAGTGGCAAGAATAACAGGGTGTGGGTAGACAAAAGAAGACTAAACAGAGAGAGAGAGTGGGTGAGAAGGCGTAGAGCAGTGGTACAGTTTCGCGATGGTAGCCCCTTAAGATCA